TTTTTTTCACAGATTGTGTCTCATGTACTACTGTCAGGATATAGTGAAAGTTTCAGCAAATATAACAAAGTTATTTTCATAAAAATCGCCTGACCTTTGCCATTATTTTGCACCAAATACAGCAAATTCACACACACAATTTTTTTACTTTAATTGTATTAATATAAATTGTAGTTTAAATTTAATCGTTGTTTCAATTTAATGAAACGACTAGAAAAAAATAATAATCTTGCATGTCAAATTATATTATACTTTCGAAATCAGGTCACAGGCTGGAGGAAGGGGGGTGGAGGGCCGGAAATGGCCCCCGGACCAGCAGTTTGATCCCCTGCAGTTGTCATTGGATTATTAGTTGAACAGGATTTCAAATCTATTGAATAATGAAACCGAGGGTGGGAGTTTCACTTGGGAGCATTATTTAGCCCCCTTCTTGACAAGCTAGATCTTCTAGTTTCATATGGTACCAGTATTTTCACTAGCTTTAAAACTGAGCCTACTACAGTGGTAATGTGTGGAAGAAGTTCAACTTCATGCAGCCTGATGAACTCATCTCTATATTTCTCCTGGTTTTTTTGCAGTCTGCTCTCCAGGTTACTTTGGTCACCGCTGCAGTCAGACCTGCCCGCATTGTGTTCACAGTAATGGACCCTGTCACCACGTCACGGGACAGTGCGACTGTCTGCCGGGCTTCAAAGGGGCACTGTGCAATGAGGGTGAGTTACCCTGCACCACATTGCTTCCAGTGTGTTAGAAAGGCTTCGGGCTTTGTAGGTCTGATACTGGTCCCAACTTCCTCTTGCTATTAGTCCTAGATGTCCTGTACCCTGAGAATTCTTTGAGTTATGACACTAAGAACTTCTCCATAAAAAAATCTGAGCTTTTTGGGAAGCATCGGTGCCTGAAGACATTTCACATTTTACATTTCAATGCAGGAAATTATAAGCTGTAAATGACTCAACCGGTCACAACATTAGGTCATAAGATGTATCACACTACTCAACAAAGTTCCATAGATTAATACATGAGAACAATACTGACCATTTATGTGTCATAAGAATGTCGCAGTGATCAGCAACCTAGATTCCAAGATTTCAAAGCCAGTAACTCCATGGATGGTATCTGAGATGGCAGCTAAAATACAGTTGAAGAACATGATGGAATATGATTCTTGTGTGCAGTGTGTCCCAGTGGTCGCTTTGGGAAGAACTGCGCCTGGAGCTGCAGCTGCACCAACAACGGCACTTGCAACCCCATTGACGGCTCCTGCCAGTGTTATCCAGGATGGATCGGCAGCGACTGCTCCCAGCGTGCGTTCACTCAATAGAATGATAAATAAGACACAAAGATATAAAGGTTACACACACTAACATGTTGTTGTCACTGTGTTGCAGCTTGTCCACCTGGTCAGTGGGGACCCAACTGCATCCACACATGTAACTGTCACAACGGAGCCTACTGCAGCGCTTACGATGGAGAATGCAAGTGCACCCCAGGGTGGACCGGCCTCTACTGTACACAACGTCAGTCACAAACACACACACACACACACACACACACACACACAAGAGCAGTTTACCCCTTTGACAGTGAGTTTCTGTCACATGTAGTAAATGACAGTGGAAGCAGGTTTACAGCTGGTTGACGTTTAATGACTCCCTTGCAGGTTGTCCATTAGGTTTCTATGGGAAGGACTGTTCTCAGACCTGCCAGTGTAGGAACGGAGCAGACTGTGACCACATCTCTGGACAGTGTACCTGTCGCACCGGCTTCATGGGACTACACTGTGAACAAAGTATGTCACGCCGTCTGACGTCCTGTCTTCTTTTTATTCCTTGTTTCATCCTTTCTTACTTTTTCTTACTTACCTTGTACGTACACCTCTGTGGTGCATTGTGGGATTTTATAACTGAACTGAAGCAGGAAACACACTGTTACTTTCTCTGAAATCTGATGTTTTCACATCACAGATGATGCATAAAAACTATTAATGCCAGAGAGAGTAAAAGTGTGTGTCCTGCTCACACCACAGAGCGTCTCTCCTGCTGCGCTCCAGCCAACATGCTGGGACACTGTTTTTACACATAGAAGGAAAAAACTTCATGTATAACATTTGCTGAATTTACAAGAACACCCACATAATTAAGAATTTGTCATAGACAGTGTTTCACAAAGGTGATAAAGTCTCTCCTCGCTCAACAATGTTTTACATTTTTTAATGCAATCTGGGGATTTTGCGGTTCTTAGACAGTGTGTTCACAAAGATCTGCTGCTTATATTGGCAGGTAAGAGAGCCCAAACGCTTATTATACATTACAGTGAACCAAATGGAAATCAGTGTGGAATCAGTGTGTGTTTGGTGTGTGCTTACAGGACGTCATTTAAGTAGGCAGTCCTTCAGTGTGCCCCGGACACAAATGTCCAAATGTGGTCGAAGCCACACACATCAGATCCCCATGCATCTTGGGTGTATTCATGCCTTTACTTTAAGCTGTTCACTTGTGATCGGATCACCCAAGACACATGTTACTACAATGTGTAAACAGGGCCTTAATGCTTAGTTGACACTTCCCTGTTGTACACTCTAAACATGGACAATCAATGAGTATGCTTACTTCAGTGATGCACACTTATTTAACTCTTTATTATTTTATTTTTTTATTCTTTTTTTAATCTGTGTTACCACACTCGCTACCTATCACTACCATTTGTAGTTCAAATGATTCTCCAGCTGCTGTTTAAATTTGCTTCAACTTCAGAAAGTCAAGTACTCCCATACAAATACATGTTTCAAAAGCTTCAAATAATCAGAGCATTTAAGACACTGAAGCTAAAGCAGGCTCACATACATTTGAAACCTTATGTACAGTGTGTTATAGTTGACTTAAATGACTTTTTACATATTTCCAGAGTGTCCTCCTGGTTCGTATGGTTATGGCTGCCGTCAGGTGTGTGACTGTCTAAATAACTCCACATGTGATCACATGACTGGTACATGTTACTGCAACCCAGGCTGGAAAGGGGCTCGCTGTGACCAAGGTGAGGACAAGCCTCAGTGTAAATTAGGGCTGCATGATATGGTTAAAATATCATATTGTGATTACTTTGACAGATATTGCAAATTGCAACTTGTACTTTGTGCAATGACAATAAAGTTTAATCTAATCTAATATGATTCAAGATTAATATGATTAATTGAAACTGTCATTTTTGCATTACAAATGAACTTTTAACTGAAAAAATAATTCTTTTTTTTTTGTTGGGGCAAACATGTCTTCTTACATCTAGAGAACAAGGTTTGTAGGCCAGGGCATTTCTGCAACAATACAGCATTTCATTATAATGCGGTTTGTCACATTTTACCTTTATCAAACAAATTGCAACCTCTGCGATTTGGATATTGCACTTGGCCATATCGGAATTTCAATAATATATCGAGTAATTTTACAGCCCTAGTATAAATTGAATCAATAGATTTTGCACTATCAATAAAGACAAAGTTGTCCGGCTACTAAACTGGAATCCCCTTGGTACTTTGATTACTGACAGCCATGTCTTTTTGAAAGTTTTTTTTTTTTTTTTGAACTGACTAAATGTTCATTTAGAACAACAAACTTTATAAGGCCTCTGCCCTCTCTCTGCAGCCGGTGCAGTGGTGGTGGGCAGCCTCAACAGTCTGACCAGTGCAGCCATGCAGGTGGACACATATCAAATTGGAGCCATCGCGGGAATCATCGTCCTGGTGCTGCTGGTGCTCTTTCTCCTCCTCCTCTTTATCATCTACAGGAAAAAGCAGAAGGGCAAAGAACCCACAATGCCGGCTGTGACCTACACTCCTGCTCTGAGGGTCACTGCTGATTACACCATCGCAGGTACATCTCAGGCTTCAAACTGCAACCAGCTAAGTGACATGTGCCACCCCAGGCATGTCAGGCAGGTCTTCCTCATGTCGGGCTGTAAGCTGGTTCCTGTAAAATGTGTCTTGTATTTCTTTGATTGTTGATTTTTCAGTTAAAGGTCCAGTGTGT